TGGGGGGGGACTGGGGGGCACTGGTTTGGACTGGGAGGGCACTGGGGGGGGACTGGGGTTACTGGTTTGTACTGGGAGGGGACCTGGGTCACTGGTTTGTACTGGTTTGTACTGGGAGGGAACTGGGAGGGGTTTGGGGGTCACTGGAGGGTCACTGGTCTGTACTGGGAAGGGTTTGGGGGTCACTGGTCTGTACTGGGAGTCACTGGGAGGGGTTTGGAGGTAACTGGTCTGTACTGGGGTCACTGGTCTGGACTGGGAGGGAACTGGTGTGTACTGGGAGAAGGTTTGGGGGGTACTGGGACGACACTGGTCTGTACTGGTCTTGACTGGGGGTCACTGGTCTGGACTGGGAGGGGTTTGGGGGTAACTGGGAGGGAACTGGTTTGTACTGGGGAGTTACTGGTCTGTACTGGGGTCACTGGTTTGTACTGGGAGGGAACTGGGGGGGTCACTGGTCCCTGCTGGGGGTCACTGGTCTGGACTGGGCTTTACTGGGAGGGCACTGGGAGTCACTGGTCCATACTGGTCTGTACTGGGAGTCACTGGTCTTTACTGGGTGTCACTGGGAAGTCCCTGGGGGGGTCTGCACTGGTCTGTACTGGTTTATACTGGTCTGTACTGGTTCATACTGGTCTGTACTGGTCTATACTGGTCTGTACTGGTCTATACTGGTCTGTACTGGTTCATACTAGTTCCCAGTTTAAGGTCCCAGTTTAAGGCCCCAGTTCAGTTCCCAGTTTAAGGCCCCAGTTTCCCCAGTTTAGTTCCCAGTTCAGGGTCCCAGTTTAAGGTCCCAGTTTGTCCCAGTTTAACCCAGTGTCACTCACTCTGCTCCCTCTCCAGCCGCTCGAGGCTCTCCAGCAGCGCGTGCTCCCAGCTCAGTTCCCAGTTTGGTTCCCAGTTTAAGGCCCCAGTTTCCCCAGTTCGGTTCCCAGTTCAGGTTCCCAGTTTGCTCTCCCAGTGTGTCCCAGTTTACCCAGTCTGTCCCAGTTTACCCAGTTTGTTTCACTCACTCTGCTCCCTCTCCAGCCGCTCGAGGCTCTCCAGCAGCGCGTCCACCTTGGCCTTGATCTGCCCCAGCTCCTTCTTGATGCTCTGCAGGTCGTCGCCCTTCACTGCAAGCACCAAACAAAAATCAATCCATCAATCAATCCATCCATCAATCAATCAATCCATCAATCACACCGCAGGCACAGCACGGCGGCCATCTTGGGATGGGGCGGCCATCTTGGGATTGGGGCATGGGGGCCGCCATATTGGATTATGGGTCGCCATGTTGGATTGGGGAAGGGGGGCCGCCATATTGGACTGAGCTGTGGGAGCAGCCATATTGGATCCGGTGCCGCCATATTGGATTGACTGCTGCCATATTGGATTGGGAGCAGCCATATTGGATCAGGTGACGCCATATTGGATTGTCCAAGAGAAGCCACCATATTGCCTGACCTCCACAGGCAGCCATATTGGAATATTCAAATCAGCCGCCATATTGTCTAACACCCATAGGCAGCCATATTGGATTACTCACATCAGCCACCATATTGGAATATTCAAATTAGCCGCCATATTGCCTCCCACAGGCAGCCATCTTGTCTGACTCCCTCAGGCAGCCATCTTGTCTAACTCCCACAGGCAGCCATATTGTCTACCTCCCTCAGGCAGCCATATTGGAATATTCAAATCAGCCGCCATATTGCCTCCCACAGGCAGCCATATTGCCTGACCCCCACAGGCAGCCATCTTGTCCGACTCCCTCAGGCAGCCATATTGTCTGACTCCCTCAGGCAGCCATATTGCCTGACTCCCTCAGGCAGCCATCTTGTCTGACTCCCTCAGGCAGCCATCTTGTCTGACTCCCTCAGGCAGCCATCTTGTCTGACTCCCTCAGGCAGCCATCTTGTCTGACTCCCTCAGGCAGCCATCTTGTCTGACTCCCTCAGGCAGCCATCTTGTCTGACTCCCTCAGGCAGCCATCTTGTCTGACTCCCTCAGGCAGCCATCTTGTCTGACTCCCTCAGGCAGCCATCTTGTCTGACTCCCTCAGGCAGCCATCTTGTCTGACTCCCTCAGGCAGCCATCTTGTCTGACTCCCTCAGGCAGCCATCTTGTCTGACTCCCTCAGGCAGCCATCTTGTCTGACTCCCTCAGGCAGCCATCTTGTCTGACTCCCTCAGGCAGCCATCTTGTCTGACTCCCTCAGGCAGCCATCTTGTCTGACTCCCTCAGGCAGCCATCTTGTCTGACTCCCTCAGGCAGCCATCTTGTCTGACTCCCTCAGGCAGCCATCTTGTCTGACTCCCTCAGGCAGCCATCTTGTCTGACTCCCTCAGGCAGCCATCTTGTCTGACTCCCTCAGGCAGCCATCTTGTCTGACTCCCTCAGGCAGCCATCTTGTCTGACTCCCTCAGGCAGCCATCTTGTCTGACTCCCTCAGGCAGCCATCTTGTCTGACTCCCTCAGGCAGCCATCTTGTCTGACTCCCTCAGGCAGCCATCTTGTCTGACTCCCTCAGGCAGCCATCTTGTCTGACTCCCTCAGGCAGCCATCTTGTCTGACTCCCTCAGGCAGCCATCTTGTCTGACTCCCTCAGGCAGCCATCTTGTCTGACTCCCTCAGGCAGCCATCTTGTCTGACTCCCTCAGGCAGCCATCTTGTCTGACTCCCTCAGGCAGCCATCTTGTCTGACTCCCTCAGGCAGCCATCTTGTCTGACTCCCTCAGGCAGCCATCTTGTCTGACTCCCTCAGGCAGCCATCTTGTCTGACTCCCTCAGGCAGCCATCTTGTCTGACTCCCTCAGGCAGCCATCTTGTCTGACTCCCTCAGGCAGCCATCTTGTCTGACTCCCTCAGGCAGCCATCTTGTCTGACTCCCTCAGGCAGCCATCTTGTCTGACTCCCTCAGGCAGCCATCTTGTCTGACTCCCTCAGGCAGCCATCTTGTCTGACTCCCTCAGGCAGCCATCTTGTCTGACTCCCTCAGGCAGCCATCTTGTCTGACTCCCTCAGGCAGCCATCTTGTCTGACTCCCTCAGGCAGCCATCTTGTCTGACTCCCTCAGGCAGCCATCTTGTCTGACTCCCTCAGGCAGCCATCTTGTCTGACTCCCTCAGGCAGCCATCTTGTCTGACTCCCTCTTTGGGGCTGGTTTGGGCCCGTTTGGGGTCGATTGGGGGCAGTTTGGGGCCGTTTGGGGTCAGTTCGGGGTGGTTTTGGGGGGGTTCGGGGCAGTTTTGGGTCATTTTGGGGCCGTTTGTGGCATTTCGGGGCCGTTTGGGGAGGGCTCACCTCAGGAGGATCCAGGAATGGGGAAAAAACCCAAAAATGGCTCAAAATGAGCCCAGAATGACCCAAAATGGCCCCAAATGACCAAAACTGACCCCAAAGTGACCCAAAGTGACCAGAACTGACCCAAAGTGACCAAAACCAACCCCAAAAGTGACCCCAAAGTGACCACAACTGACCCAAAGTGACCAAAAGTGACCCCAAAACTGACCTCACAGTGACCAGAAGTGACCCCAGCAGTGACCCCAGATGACCGCTGCCACCCACAGCTGACCACGAGTGACCACGGCCACCTCGTGACCACAGGAGTCCAAACCACCTCCAAAAACCACCAAAAGTGAGCCCAAAACTACCCCAAAATGACCACAGGTGACCATAACTGACCACGAGTGACCATGGCCACCTCGCTGACCACCTCCCTGAATATCCTTGGTCCATCCAAATGTGGGGATCCTCCTCTCCCACCATCAGAGACCCCATAACACCTCACAGAACTTCACTCCGACTGACCATGAGTGTCCAGAGTGACCATGAGTGACCACGGCCACCTCGCTGAGCACCTCCCTGACCATCCCTGGTCAAATGTGACCTGAGATTCCTCTTGTCCCACCCCCAGAGACCCCATAACACCTCACAGATCCTAATTTAGTGACCATAACTGACCATGAGTGACCACGGCCACCTCGCTGACCACCTCCCTGACCACCACAGCTCAAATGTGACCTGACATTCTTCCTGTCCCACCCCCAGAGACCCCATAACACCTCACAGATCCTAATTTAGTGACCATAACTGACCATGAGTGACCAAGAGTGACCATGGCCACCTCGCTGACCACCTCGGTGACCACCACAGATCAAATGTGACCTGAGATTCCTCCTCCCACACCCTCAGAGACCCCATAAGACCTCATAAAACTTCACTCAGACTGACCATGAATGACCATAATTGACCATGAGTGACCATGGCCACCTCGCTCAGATTTGATGTCATGTTCCTCCTCCCACACCCTCAGAGACCCCATAACACCTCATAAAACTTCACTCAGACTGACCATGAGTGTCCAGAATGACCATGAGTGACCATGGCCACCTCACTGGTCACCTCGCTGACCACCACAGCTCAAATGTGACCTGAGATTCCTCTTGTCCCACCCTCAGAGACCCCATAACACCTCACAGATCCTAATTTAGTGACCATAACTGACCATAAATGGCCAAGAGTGACCACGGCCACCTCACTGGTCACCTTGGTGACCACCACAGCTCAAATGTGACCTGAGATTCCTCCTCCCACACCCTCAGAGACCCCATAACACCTCACAGATCCTGATTTAGTGACCATAACTGACCATGAGTGACCATGGCCCCCTCACTGGTCACCTTGGTGACCACCACAGCTCAAATATGAGAACAGGATCCTCCTCTCCCACCCTCAGAGACCCCATAACACCTCACAGATCCTGATTTAGTGACCATAACTGACCATGAGTGACCAAGAGTGACCATGGCCACCTCGCTGACCACCTTGGTGACCACCACTGGTCAAATGTGACCTGAGATTCTTCCTCCCACACCCTCAGAGACCCCATAACACCTCACAGATCCTAATTTAGTGACCATAACTGACCATAAATGACCAAGAGTGACCACGGCCACCTCGCTGACCACCTCCCTGACCACCACAGCTCAAATATGAGAACAGGAGCCTCCTCTCCCACCCTCAGAGACTCCATAACACCTCACAGAACCTCACTCAGACTGACCATAAATGACCATAACTGACCAAGAATGACCAAGATTGATGATGACCACCTCGCTGACCACTTCCCTGACCATCACTGGTCAAATATGAGAACAGGATCCTCCTGTCCCACCATCACAGACCCCATAACACCTCAGAAACCCTTGTTCCATGACCATAAATGACCAAGAATGACCACGGCCACCCCACCCACGCCCCCAGGTGTCCTCACCGAGCACCTGGCCGGCGATCATGCGGCCGTCCTCGCCGGCCACGGCGGCGCGGGCGTTGCGCTCGTTGACGTACTGCACGAAGGCGAAGCCCTTGTGCACGGAGCAGCCGACGATCTTGCCGTACTTGGAGAAGATGGCCTCCACGTCGCTCTTCTTCACCACCAGCGTGTTGAGGTTGCCGATGAAGACGCGCGAGTTGAGCGAGCGCGGGTCCGTCTTGTTGGTCACGTTGCTGGCCATGGTGGGAGGGCGGGGCGGGTGGGCGTGGCCGGGGAGGGGTCTGCAAGGGGAGGGGCTAGTGAGGGGGGAGGGACCCCAAAACCAGGTGGAATGAGCCCAAAATAACTGAAAGTAACCCCAAAAACACATGGAATGACCTCAATTACCCTGGGGGGAGGGGCTCCGGTGGGGGGGGAGGGGCGTCCGTGGGTCGGCGGCGGCGAAGGGGGCGGGGCGGAGGGAAAGGGGCGTGGCCAAAAGGGGAAAGGGGCGTGGCTTTGGGGAGGGGGTGGAGCTGAGCCAGAGAGCCCCGGAAAAAAATAAAAAATACAAAAAAAATAAAAATAAAAAATCCAGGGGGAGGAAAAACCCAACAATTAAAAATGAAAACAATTAAAAATAAAAAATTAAAAAAAAAAATCCGAATCCCCTCGAGAGAAAACCCGAAAATGCTGAGGGGGAGGGGCCGCGCCAGGCCCCGCCCACCCGGCCCGGCCGGGGCCGTTTGGGGCTTTTGGGCCGTTTTGGGCCATTTCTGACCCATTCTGGGCCATTTTGGGCCATTTCTGACCCATTTTGGGCCAGTTTTGACCCATTTCTGACCCATTTTGGGCCATTTTTGACCCATTTCTGACCCATTTTGGGCCATTTCTGACCCAGTTTGGACCATTTTTGACCCATTTTAGGCCATTTTTGACCCATTTTGGGCCATTTTTCAGGCCAGTTTTGACCCATTTTGGTCATTTTGGACCCATTTTGGACCCATTTTAGGCCATTTTTTACCCATTTTGGGCCATTTCAAACCATTTTTGACCCCGTTTTGGCCTTTTTCGATCCATTTCTGACCCATTTTTGGTCATTTTTGACCCATTTTAAGCCATTTGGGGCCATTTTTATCCATTTCAGGCCATTTCCAACCATTCTGAGCCATTTTGGGGCAGTTCTGACCATTTTGGTCATTTTGGAGCCATTTTTGGCCTGTTTTAGGTCATTTCGAACCATTTTGGGTCATTCTTGGCCCATTTTAGCCCACTTTGGGTCATTTTTTGCCCATTTTAGTGCATTTTGGGTCATTTTTGGCCCATTTTGGGTCATTTCTGGCCCATTTTGGGTCACTCTTAGCCCATTTTGGGTCATTTTTTGCCCATTTTGGGTCATTTTTGGCCCATTTTAGGTCATTTTTTGCCCATTTTGGGTCACTCTCAGCCCATTTTGGGTCATTTCTGACCATTTTGAGCCATTCTTGGCCCATTTTCGGTCACTTTTGGCCCATCCTGGGTCATTTTGGGGCCGTTTCGGGCGGTTTTGGGAGGGGGGCGGGGCCCTGGGAAATGAGGGGGAAATTGGGGAAAAAGGGGAAAATGGGGAAAAATGGGGGAAAATGGGGGAAAAATGAGGGAAAATGAGGAAAAAGGGGGAAAATTTGGAGGGAAATTGGGGAAAATGGGGGGAAAAGGGAAAAAGATTGGGGGGAAATGTGAGAAAAATGGGAAAAATGGGGGAAAACGGGGAAAAATGGGAGAAAAAGGGAAAAATTGGGAAAAAATGGGGGAAATTGGGGAAAAATAGGAGAAAATTAGGAAAATGGGGGAAAATTGTGGGAAATTTGGAAAAAATGGGGAAAATGGGGGGAAATGGAGAAAAATTGGGGGAAAATGGGGAAAAATTGAGAAAAATGGGGAGAAATTGGGAGAAATGGGAGGAAAATTGGCAAAAATTGGCAAAATGGGGGGAAAGGGGGAGAAATCGGGAAAATTGTGGGAGATTTGGGAAAAAATGGGGAAAATGGGGAGAAGGAAAAGGGTGGGAAATTTGGAAAAAAGGGGGAAAATGGGGGGAAATGGAGAAAAATTGGGGGAAAATGGGGAAAAATTGAGAAAAATGGGGAGAAATTGGGAGAAATGGGAGGAAAATTGGCAAAAATTGGCAAAATGGGGGGAAAGGGGGAGAAATCGGGAAAATTGTGGGAGATTTGGGAAAAAATGGGGAAAATGGGGAGAAACGGGAAAACTGGGGGAAATGAGGGGAAAAAAGAGAAAAATGGGGAAAAGGGGGAAAATTGGAGGGAAATTGCAAAGAAATTGGGAAAAATGGGGAGAAATGGAGAAAAATGGGGGGGAATCGGGAAAAATTGGGAAGGAATTTGGAAAATTTGGGAAAAAAATGGGAAAACGGGGGGAGTATGGGGGAAAAACTCAGAAAAATGGGGAGAAATTGGAAAAAAAGGGAAGAAATTGGGAAAAATGGGGGAAAGATTTGGGAAAAATGGGACACAAGCAGCTGGAACTGGGCTCAAACTGGTTTGAACTGGGGCCAGACCAGTTTCAATCTCCCCACACCAGTTTGAACCGCCCCAGACCAGTCTGAAAGGCCTCAAACCAGTTTAAATCACCTCAAACCAGTTTAAATTCCCCCCACACCAGTTTGAACCGCCCCAGACCAGTCTGAAAGGCCTCAAACCAGTTTAAATCTCCCCAAACCAGTTTAAATCCCCCAAACCAGTTTAAATCCCCCAAACCAGTTTAAATCCCCCCAAACCAGCTGAATTCACCCCAGAATTAGACTGGAACCCCCCGAGCTCGGGGAGAATTCCGCATCCAGCCCCAAAACCCAACTGGGAAGGGGAAAAAAAATCCCAATTTGGGGCTCCCGGAATGGGGAAAAAGGACAAAATTCGAGGAGTTTTTAAAAAACTCAAACAAAAATCCCCAGAATCCGCCGGCAAAGGGAGCCTGGGGGGGAAACAGCCTCATTAGGCGCTAATTAGGCCGTTAATGAGCTTAATTAGAGCTCTCCAGGCCTTTAGCGCTCCCCAAGTGTGGGTTGGCCACGCCCATAGCGGTTTAGCCACGCCCAAAGCGGGTTTGGCCACGCCCCCGTGGTTTAACCCCGCCCCTCTCGGGGTGATTGATCCTCATTAGTCCTTTAATGATTAGCCACGCCCCCCCGCGGGGTTCATTATGCAAATGAAGGGCTTTCCTAGGCCTCGGATGGAATTAATTAGGCGCAGCCCAAGGGGTTACGCCGCTTCCTCCGGGGGCTGAGCGCAAAATGGCGCCCGCGCCGCCCTCAGCGCCGCCAGCGCCGCCGGGCCCGCCCCCCGCCGCGCCGTAACGCGCGCGGATTGGGCGAGAGGCGCGTCGATCAACGCCTCAGCCAATGGGAGCGCGGAGGGCGCCGCGGCGCGGGAGGGGGAGGAGAGGAGGCGAGTGGCGGGGATGGGGTGTCAATCACGCGGCGCGCGGCGCTGATTGGCGGAGCGCGCCGCCGGCTTGGCGGCTCCGCCAACCGCGAGCGAGCGCCTGGCGGAGATCCCGCCCCCGAACGCGCGGAGAGCTCTGCGCATGCGCCACCAGCCGCCATTGGCTCAAAGTGGAGGGCGGGGCGATGAGATCAGCGCGGGCTCTGATTGGACGAAGGGAGACGAGGGCGAGCGGGGATTGGACAGCGGCGCTGTCGGTCAGGCGGAGGGGGCGGGGCCAGGCCGGGTCCCAGTCCGCGCTGTTTTGGGGCCTTTTGAAGTGGTTTGGGGCAAATTAAACAGATTTGGGGGAAATTAAACTGATTTGGGGTCAAGTGTGGGTTGGCCACGCCCATAGCGGTTTAGCCACGCCCAAAGCGGGTTTGGCCACGCCCCCGTGGTTTAACCCCGCCCCTCTCGGGGTGATTGATCCTCATTAGTCCTTTAATGATTAGCCACGCCCCCCCGCGGGGTTCATTATGCAAATGAAGGGCTTTCCTAGGCCTCGGATGGAATTAATTAGGCGCAGCCCAAGGGGTTAATTAACATTAATCAGGACAAGGCCACGCCCCCCTGCGGGGTCAGCCCCGCCTCCTCTGGGGTTAATCAAAACTAATTAACCGCTGAATGAGCAAACCACGCCCCCTCAGCGAAGCCCCGCCCACAAACCAAACCCCGCCCCCCTTGGCGCTAACCCCGCCCCCGCAGGGATTAATTACGACCCGCAAGCTGCTAATTAACCCCCTCCTCCGGCGCTAATTAACGCCCGGGGTGGTTAATGAGGCTGGGGGGTGATTTAGGCCCCGCCCATCGCGGCTCTGGCCCCGCCCCTCCCCTCACGGCCCTGAGGGGGCGGCCCCTCCCCCCCTTTCCCGCCTCGCTCCCTCACGCGCCGCCGCCATCTCCGCCCCCCCCGTTGATCAGCGCGGGCTCTGATTGGACGAAGGGAGACGAGGGCGAGCGGGGATTGGACAGCGGCGCTGTCGGTCAGGCGGAGGGGGCGGGGCCAGGCCGGGTCCCAGTCCGCGCTGTTTTGGGGCCTTTTGAAGTGGTTTGGGGCAAATTAAACAGATTTGGGGGAAATTAAACTGATTTGGGGTGATTTAAACTGGTTTGGGGAGATTTAAACTGGTTTGGGGTGATGTAAACTGGTTTGGGCCCAGTCCAACTCCCATTCCCCCAATTTTCCCGATTTCCCCCCATTTTTCCCAATTTCCCCCATTTTTTCCCAATTTTTCTCCATTTCCCCCCAATTTTTCCCCAATTCCCCCCCCAGTTTTCACAATTTACCCCATTTTTTTCCCAATTTCCCCAATTTCCCCCCAATTTTTTCCCAATTTCCCCCATTTTTTTCCTCTATTTTTCCCATTTTTTTCCCATTTTCCCCCAGTTTCCCATTTTTCCCTATTTCCTCCCATTCTTCCCAATTTTCTCCAATTTCCCCCAATTTTTTACCATTTCCCCTCATTTCCCCCAGTTTTTTCCCAATTTCCCCCCATTTTTCCCATTTTCCCCCATTTCCACCCATTTTTCCCCAATTTCCCCCCATTTTTTCCCATTTCCCCAATTTCTACCAATCTTTTCCCTTTTTTTTTCCATTTCTCCCCCATTTTTTCCCATTTTTCTCCTTTTCCCCCCCATTTCCCCCAATTTCCCCCAATCTTTTCCCATTTATTCCCCATTTCCACCAAATCTTCCCCATTTTTTCCCATTGTTCCCAATTTCTTCCCATTTCCCCCATTTTCCCAATTTTTCCCCATTTTTTCCCCAATTTCCCTCCATTTTCCCCAATTTTTCCCCATTTTCCCCAATTTCTTCCCATTTTCCCCCCGTTCTCCCCAATTTCCCTTCAT